TGTACCACAAAATCCTGGTACTCACCTTGTTGCTCCCCCGAGCCTTGCTGGAAATGCTAGAATCACTGCTGGCCACAATTTCCACCTCCTTGGCCAAAATCCCAATGCAAGTGGAGCTGTCGTCCCCCGAGAGGCAACTGGAAGAGGTACATAAACCTAGTCCCTTGTTCACCAAAAGGCTCAGTAGAACATGGCTACCTGACGAAGATGTCTAGTCCCAGATTCCCAGTTCTGCCTGCTCCCATATACACAGTTCTGCTTGCTTGCCTCCTTCCTGACAAATGAGGTTAATTCCATTCTACACTAGGTATCCAAGCCAATCTTTAGCTTGTCCTCATCTCTTCTCCAAGTACAAATTCAACACAGTAGTACAGGCTCTGCCCCAGATCATCCAAAAGAGAGGAAGCAAAGGCTGCTTGCCCATTTGACCCTACTTTTATCCCTTCAGCAATAAGCAAAACTGCCAAAGATATTACTACCACTATTACTATTTCTTAGGTACTCACATGACCTGCTTTTCCTGCAGGTTAATGGGTGGCATGGTCCGTACACCAGGTTTGCTTGTTGAGTTACCATCACCTGAACTGAGTGGATCTGGGACCAGGAGGCCATTAAGGTCTCCATTGTAGGTACTAGATGGCCTTTGGCTCTCTGCATTGGAGCCTAGGGAAGAAAAGGAAACTGTGACAAAACTGCTTTGCCTACCATGAGTTTCTTCTACAGCTCTAGACTATAAAGTACTCAGAACACTTAATATGTCGATGGGGAGGAGGGTCCTTTGTGCACTCCTCATTCTGTAGGTGTGATTATACAGCAGGACTAAGGGTGAGCATGAGGCTCTTCTCCTGTGGGAGGGGCACAAACCAGCAAAGACCTTCTGATGGGGCCAGAGGCACAGCTTAGTGGTAGCATGTTTGGCTGCTTGTTTACTATATATGAGGCCCTTGGTTTGATCTTCAGCACCAAAACCAAAAAGATAAACAAAACTCCAAAATTAGGCCAGTTAATACTTAGGCTAAGAACAGCAAACAAACCTGATTTGAAGAAAAGTCAAGATACCATAGCAGTTTTATTTACAACATATTAACATGGGAAATGCTTTGTACTGTGGCACATGCTTGTAATCTCAGCAGTTGAGAGGCTGAGGCAGAAAGACTGTGAATTAAGGGACATGCTAAGCTATAGCTGAAGTTCAGGCCAGCCTAGACTATATAAACCAAATCTTGTCTCAAAACAAAACATAAAGAAGTCGGGGAGACAGCTCTGTGTTTAAGAGTACTTGTTGCAGCCAGGGCAGTGGAACACGCCTGTAATCTCAGCACTCGGGAAAGACAGAGGCAGGTGGACTTCTGTGAGTTTGAGGCCAGCCTGGTCTACAAATCGAGTCTAGGACAGCCAAAGCTACACAGAGAAATCCTGATTTGAAAAACAAACCAACAAAAAAAAAAAAAGAGTACTTGTTCTTATTGCAGAGGACCCAGGTTCAATTCATCAGCACCCACAGGGTGGTTCCCATTCATATGTAACTCCAATTCCAAGGGATGTGATACTCTCTTCTGACCTCCTCATACCCAAGACCCACACATGGTAGACATACATATGCCAACAAAACACATATAAAATTAATAAATCTAAAACAAAACAATCAAACAACTCAGAAACAAAACAGGAAAGGATAAAGGGAAAACAGGGTTGCAAATGTCTCTGATATGAGGCTGGGTTGCTTAGCTGCAAAAGCTCATCACTCCCTCCCTTTTCTGAGACAGGACCTTCCTGTGTAGTTCAGACGGCCTTGACATTGGGATCTTCTTGATTCTGCCTCCTAAATGCTGGAATTACAAGCACATGCACACTTGGCTCTACAAAAGTTTTGAATTTTATATATAGTCAGTTGTTGCCAGTGACTGACTATTCCAAGGCAACATACAGAATAGCTGAGGGTTTGTGTGAGACACCAGAACTCAGACAAACACAGTGGTACAGTGTATGGAGAAGGGTTTCTAATGCCAGGAAAGAAGAGAGGACCTGAAACATCTGAATTTATTAACAGGCCACTTTGGGGAGGTAAACTCAGAAGGAAAAGGATATGAGGAACTGGACAAAGAGAATAGAAGCTATTAGCATGTGGTGGGTGTAAAATCAGTAATGACAGTATTTTAGATGTTTACAATGGCTGCTCCCACTCCTCCTAGTACTGGGGATTGAGTCCTGAATATCCCTTGCATGCTAGGCAGGTTTTGTTGTTTTTTGGGGGGAGATAGTACTGGGAATGGAATTCAGGGCTTTGCACATGCTAGAAAATTTCTCTACTGGCCTTGAGATTGAGCTGTTTCCAACCATTTATGCAATTATTTATTTCTTAATTATGTCTTTTATCGACATTTGGCCTCAACATGTAGCATGAGATGACTTTCAACTCACAATTCTCTTGCCTCTGTTTCCCAAGTGTGGAACTACAGGTGAGTACTGCCTTAACTGGCTTCTGGCTAGTTTTCAAAAATCTCATTAATTCAGACACTACTTCCCAAACTTCCAGTTAGCAGGAAGGTGCTTCAGGAAAAGACCAAGTTTTTGGTCATGAAAATGAGTCTTAGGTGGCAAATCCTTCAACCAAAAAAAAAAAAAAAAAAAAAAAAGCAAAAGCTACTTGAAAAGAATCAGCAGGTGGTGGTGGTGCACATCTTTGATCCCAGGACTCTGGAGGCAGAGGCAGGTGGATCTCTGAGTACAAGGTCAGCATGTGAATAGGGTGGGGTGTGGAATCAGGAATGACAGAATTTTAGAAAGCATTTAGAACTTGGTGCAGCGCAAGTTCCAGGACAGCTACCAGATACACAGAAAAAAAACCCTGTCTCAAAACACTCCCTCCCAAACCAAAACCCAAGGAACAGTCACTAAACAAACGATTTATAGAGAAAGACCCTCCATCTTTCACTAGGACTAGAGCCACCCTAGCTGCTTAGAGTTAAGATGGCTACTCTCCCTTCCAGACAGTCTACTGTGAGGATAAACACCAGGCCTAGGCTATGCAGTTAACCACGCTAGTGCTACCAAATCTCTAGTGAGTAGTCTGCTCAGCTGAGGGTGGGCATCAGGGGCAAAAACCACCTCATAAGCAAAGGGTGCACACACTGCAGGCCAGAGGCAGGACCCAGCAGCCTCAGGCAGCCTGGTGTATGTGCCAGCTAAACCCACTGGGAACCGAGTACCAGTGCCTGCTTTTGCAGTCTGGGTCCCCCCAACAAGCACAGAAGGTGTGAGAGAAGAATCAGTTCTCAACTGTGGCCTTTACACATACCCTACTATCACCAGTCAACAACTAAAACTTTCAGGTATCTCGGAGTCAGTCAGGAAAAGCTAGTTTTCATACATACTATGTCCTTTCTATAATATGTGCCTTCTACATAAGTACCTTGAGTTTCCTGGCATCCAATCTCCTGTCTGTAGTATTCAACCTAGCCTAAACAGTCTCCTCTCAGACCTGACCTCTATCTCCCTCACCACATCTCCCCCCTAACCACTACCATCACAGTACCCAAACAATCCTCTTTCACACTAACAATATTATATTTAAAATGCTGTTGACTTTTTGTCCTGGGACTCTTAACTGACAAGAGTAGCCCCAAAGGGGATATGGGAGCCCAAGTAAAACTAGGATGAATTGGTAACATATGGGCTTGCAGATGTTTGGAACCTAATCTAATCAGAGCCACAGGGTTTGTGATTTGCCTTCAATCCAGTAAGAACACGAATTTGCGGTTGTCCACCTTTTGTCAGAAAATCGGTTTCAGAGCAACATCAGGCCTGGAGTCTACACTTTAGGGAGAAAGGCAAGTTGCAGAGTGGTTACAGAGGTTGAACTCTAGGCCTAGAAGTCGCTAAACAGACAAGGCACCAGGCCTCTATAAACCACAGCGAGTAGAAGCACTGGGCCAGTCCTCAAAACATGGGAGCTTGGAGGAAAGGAAACCAGATGGATTGGGTGGATTCTGAGGGGTGGATTTACCTTCAGCCAAGACACTTAAGGACAAGGCAGAATGGTCTGGCACAAAATGGGGAGGGTTAACACCCAAGGGTCTGCGCCATTCTCTGGGTATGCCCAGAAACCATCCATGACTCCTACTCTCGTCCTCCGCAATCAAACCGGAGGGTTCAGAGCCTGTTTAAAGGGACCTGCGGCACACGGGGACAGTTCAGTTCCACGCCATATGCATACTCTTTTCGCCAAGAGCATACCCACCCGATCCCGGCTCACCTCCGGCGGGCCGATCCAGTTTGAGGATGTCCCGCAGATGCTGCGTGGCGTCCTCAATGTCGATGCTCGCGCAGGAGGCCATGGGCCCAGCCGCGAGAGTCCTCCTCGCACGTTAGTTTCTCTACCTCCGCGCACCGTCCAATCTCGCCCAGCCACGACCCCGTCAGACAGCAGGAGACGGAGGAACCCTACACAAAATCCAGCCGCAGTTCGCAAACCGCCGCCCGGGTTGTGTCCGAGCCCCGCCAACCCCACCAACCGCCTCCACTTCCGGTCCCACTGACCTTAGCTCCCGGAACCTACAACGACCGCAGAAACAATGTTCCTAGCTGTGAGAGATCAAGTAGTTCCTATGCAAAGTAGCCTTCCTACGCTGCTTGCTCCTGGCTAGCCCAGCAGTGGGGAAATTTCACAAGACTGAGAAAGCAAATATGCTCATAGAGCATTGGACTGCCTAAAGCTCTATTGTCTACTACATATCCAACCCAGGGCCTGGCTCATTCTGAACTGTAATGATAGCATAACGGAACCAAATCTACCACTTAAGTAGGAACTTTTCAGACCTTGAATAAGGTGAATTGGTAGGAGTCTGTTCCTTAGGAGTGAACAAGACCTTGATACTTTGTGAGGATATAAGGCCAAAGAAATACAAGTCCTACCACAAAATACTACTGTCATTGTTCCCGACTGCCCCCAGCAACCCCTTGTCCCACATGGCAACTTTAAGTTAGTAATAAAGAAACCATAGTTTACAAACACCTCTTTATTGCAGACATTTCAGGCACAGGTACATGAAAGCTGTATTGCAGATTTTTATACAGGGTGGATTAAGAGGCAGCTGGTACGGACCTCTCCCCCACCCCTTCTTCCCCCCCATACACAACAGCTTAGAGCTCAGTCCCACTGAAACCTCCTGTGTGCTGTCCAGGACTTTGATGGTGTAACCAGGCAACCTGTGGGGTATTGGGAAATCTTCATTCTCCCCTCATCGTGCAGGATAGAGGGGAAAAGAGAGGGAACTTTCAGGTGTGCCTGACAAATTCTAAAACCCAAATTTTGGGCTTGGTTCTAGCCTGCAGCTGCTATTCTGATACCAGCTTTATACTATCCAGAGGTATAGTATCTCAAGGATGAAAAGCTACACTTGTACGTGGCAAGACCTGTGCCCAAACTAAGGAATGGGGCAGAAACTGCCCTAATAGTTAAGACTTCCTGGGATTTGAAGAGAGTATGTGTTGTGTGGAAAGTAAGGAGACGGTGTGTGAATGCCCTGCAGAAGTGTGAGGAGGGAGAACTCCCACACATGACTCCTTCACACTGATTTCTTCTATAGTGTGGAACTTATACTCCAACCCAATGTGGCCTGGCTCGGATATCCCAAGCAGCTAGCACATCTTTTTTATTTTGCTTGGGAAATACAGGTACCCTGAATGTTATCCTGACTCTTTTGGGAAGAGAGCAGGCCTCTTCATCTGGGACTTCAATCTAAAGGGTCTACACATGGGAATCCTTATTTATCAAAGCCTTTGTGGTGTGTACAGGAGAATCATCTACCCTGCTACTAGACCCGAATCTACTCAGAGCAGAGGCCACAGGAGGTGTCAGATAGAACTGGTTGAAGAACCTTCAGTACAAGAGACCCTTCAGGCTAGACCTGCTTTCAGCTCTCCCTGCTTTCCAAAGACCAAGCAGGTTGGAGAGGACTCTGCCCTAGGAGGCTCGAGAGAAGCTTAGTTGGGACTGCCACTTCAGCCAGTTTGCTCCTTACAGCAGGTACTGTTAAGGTGAGGCAGAGATGGGGAGGGTGACATGAGAGACAGTGGGTCAGGACTGTTGATGCCCAGCCAACTACTTAACTAATTAAAACAATTTAAACTGTTAAGAAAATTTTTGTGGTTTTATTGTATCATGAGGCATTGAAACATCTGAACAAATCAATATCTGGGCGGTGAGGCAGCTGCTTTCTCCTTCACTTCTTTGGGTTACTAGAGCAACTTGTCAGTAGATTAAAAATACAAAATAAAACAAAAACAAAACCCGACAATCTTTTGCATTACTTAAGTCTTTCCAAGGCATGCGCTGGTACAACACAAACTTCTCCTGTCAGATGCAGCTAGCCTAGCATCCAAACATCATGCACAAAACCTGGTGACAGAAGCGCACTGCACCCACTCCCACCTCGGCCCTGCTCATGTGTGCATGGTATTTGGAGCATCTGGAGGAGTGAGATAGTATTGGGAAGAGGAGGGAGGAGGAAACAGCGTGAGTATCTGGCCAGGAGGAGGTCAGCCGAAGTTGTGCAGGGCAAGCCTGAACATGTCATTGGTGCAAACCCAGGCATCATTGATGTTCTTTAATAGAAACATCTGGTGGAAACCCATGATGGGATCTTCATCAGCCTGTATAAAGGAGAAAGAAAATATTTAGTATGGGGGCCAAGGAACCGGGAGGATGTTTAGTGGAAGAACAATACAGAGAATACAGACTTTGGGATCAGGCACTTAATATCTAAAAACCTGAATTCCAGTATACAATAGGTATTTGTGAATGTGAATTGCTACGTATGAAACTGCTGGTCATGTAGATGTCAATAAATGGCTACTCACATTGACATGTATGCTGAAAAGACAGCGTATCTTACCACTTAAGTAGACAATAGAGCAGAGTTGCCTATCTCTTAACAACATCTCTGGTTAGAAGTGATCAAAAAGTTTAACTAATCTTATAGCACTTTTAATTATTAGTATCTATTAGCACTATTAATTTATAGTATCAAAAAGCCATAAGTAATCTTAAGTGTTCAATAAAGCCACTTAGTCCAAGCAAGAGATATTACGGTTAAAATGTGCTTGAGTAAATGGTTTACGTCTCAAAACTGAGTTCACATTGGGCATGGTGGCACATGCCAGCTAGTGTGTATGACAAGTCTATTTAAAACAGACAAAACAATCAAACAAGCAAATAAGGCCCCCCAAAAACAATAAAACATACACAAAGTTCACAATAGGATCACAAATTTTTAAGGGGTGGAATAGGATGGAGGAATGACCAGCATAACAGAACAACAGAAAACGGGCCCAAAACCTCTAACCAGAATTCAGAAAATGAGGATGAGGTGCAAACAGGCACTGTCTCCAGCATCACTTCTTTTTCTAAGAATTAATGTCAACAAGGAGGCAAATCAGTCATTTGAAGCTCCAGGTTGGACAGAAACACCAGGAGAAACTTGGTATGATACTGCTTTATTACCTCAGGCTAAAAAAGGGGTGATAAGCTCCCTGGAAATGCCCCTTCAGCCCTAATGGCCTATATGGTTGCAGGTTCCTCTTGAAAAGGCAAGAGGAACTGAGAGAAAAGGCTGGACTTGTAGGTAGTCCCTCTGGGTTCAATTCGGAGGACAATCTTTCCACCCCCTTATTGGACTCAGAAAGCACTCTTCAGCTGGCCTGGGGGAACCCATGTGGGCATGTACTGAGTCCACTATGACATATTCCAAGAGACCTGAGATCTGGCCAAGGAGTAAGGCAGTATGTCCTGCTTTGGGAAGAGAAACACTATCTGATAATAAGGATAACAAATTTGTTTTGTTTGTCTGTTTTTGGTTTTTCAAGATAGGGTTTCTCTGTGTAGCCTTGGCTGTTCTGGAACTAACAGAGATCTGACTGCCTCTGCCTCCCAGTGTGCTGGGGTAACAGGCTTGTGCCACCATTCCTGGCTAGGATGACTGGTCTTAAGAGGGATAAAGAAGACAGGCATAATGGCACACACCTTAAAAACAAAACAAAACAGGCCGATGAACTACTCAATGAGTGAAGGCACTTGCCCTATAAATCTGAGTTGGATCCCTGAAGCCCATGTAAAAATGAAAGGAGAGGGCTGGAGAGATGGCTCAGAGGTTAAGAGCACTGTCTGCTCTACCAGAGGTCCTGAGTTCAATTCCCAGCAATCACATGGTGGCTTACAACCATCTATAATGAGATCTGGTGCCCTCTTCTTTAATGCAGTCATACGTGCAAACAGAATGCTCATATGTATAAATAAGTAAATCTTAAAAAAAAAAAAAAAAAAAAAAAGAAAGAAGAGTTTTCCTCTGATCTCCACATTTGTGCTATGGCATATACAGCATACAGCTATCTTCATGTACACATAGTTTTTTTTTTTTTAAACTAAAAATAAATAAATAAATAACAAAAAAATAACTTCTAGACATTTGCTTTGCTTGACAGGTAAAGACAAAGCTTCGGCCGGTTGTTGTGATGCACTGCTTTCATCTCAGCACTGAGCAAACAGAGGCAGGAAGATCTCTTCGAACTGGAAGGCTTGGTGTATATAGCAAGACCCTATCTCAGAGTCTGAGAGGGGGGAAAGGGAAGGAGGAGAGGGGGAGGGAAAATAGAGGAAGACTGAGAGGGAGAGCGAAAGCTCGAGAGGGAGGGCTCAAAAGCATCAGCTAGGGTGGCAGCACTGAAGGCTGTAGGAGGATTGTCTCTTAGTGTGTAGCTAGCAGGTCTATCTGTAGCTCGGGGAGACAATGGAGCCCAAGAGTTTGGCAATACAGCTTGACCCTGTTCCTGGTCATCTTGCCCCTTTTCCATAATGGCTCTAGACCAGCAACCCTCACTAGGGACTTTCTGCACCTACAGCCACTGACCACAAGCACTGGAAATATAACTAGTACAACTAAGGAGGAATATTTTAATTAGCACAATTTAAAATTGTGTGGAGCCAGTCTGCTCTGTACAGCAAGTTCTATGCGAGCCAGGGTTACATAGTGACACCTGGCCCCCAAAATAGTAAGTAAGCAAGTAAGGAGAAATAGATGGCTCAGTGGTTAAGAGCACTGTATGCTCTTTCAAAGGACCTGGGTTCCCAGCACCCACAACTGTCTTTAACACCAGTTCCAAAGAATCTGACACCTTCACACTAATGCACATAAAAAAAAAAAAAAAAAAAAAAAAAAAAACCCCAAATTTTTTTAAAAAAAAATGTTTTAAAAGTTAAAAAAAAAAAAAAAAAGCAAGAGTGTAGCTCAGTCTGAGTTTCTTCTTAGCATACCCAGCACCAAGGAAAGACAGGAGGGGAAGGCAAGAAAAGGTCAATTTCAAGTGGCTCATGGCTGTTATATTGAAGAATTCAGGTCTAGGCAGCCACTTGAGTTTTGTCTTGACAGTCACTTTTTATGTCCCTCAATTAAGTAGGTTACACCCATAGGGAAGCACAGGAGCTCTGCTTTGCCAGCCTACGCCTGGGATACAGTGGCACTACTACCTTGAGCTGGCCTACAACCATGCTGATAATACAGCTATCTGGTGTAGGCTGATGGTCCTGCGCCGTGATACTATGCTGAATTTTCTGGAACGGAAGGCTCTGCAAGAGAAAGAATGGGGGTAAGCTGAGGTTAGAGGCACCTGACAGAAGCTGCCTGTAGCCCAGGTCTAAACCTTACTTACAGATAACTTCTCCACAATGGCAGCTTTCCCCTGGAACTGCTGTCCTTCCCACGTAAGGCATGACGCATCAATCTAAAAAGTGCACAGAAATGTAATCAGGGCCTCAGCACTCTAAGACCCTAGAAAAATCCTGAAAAATATCTTGCTTTGGGAAATGAGTACACACCTGTCTACTTGTCTGGAAACAAGATAAAAATTTGACTGACTCACAAATTTATACTAGCAGTAATTTCTAAATTAGAAAACCTTTATTTCTGCCTGGCAGTGGTAACACACACCTTTGGTCCCAGTGCTCAGGATTAAAGGCAGAGGCAGTTGATCTCTGAGTTCCTGGACAGCTAGGACCACACAGAGAAACCTTGTCTGATGAAAACAAACAACAAAACCGAGACTAACCCAAACAACATACTAAAAAAAAAAAAAAAGAAAAAAAAAATTCAACCAAGACTAAAAGAAAAAAATTTTTCTTTTAACTTTATTTTTGAGGCGTAGTGTCTCCTTGCAGCTCAGGCTGGGCCTGAACTCAAAAGACCTGCCTGCCTTAGCCTTCCAGTACTGGGATTAAAGGCTTATGCTACAATGCCCAGCAAACTTTCAAGATTATACCTTTTCATGGACATGAAAAGATTATTAAAAGGCACTTATTAAAACTCTCTCTCTTTCTCTCTCTCCCTTCCACTTTGTGAAATGGAGTCTCACTATGTAGCCCAGGCTGACTTATAACTCAGGGATCCTTCTGCCACTGACCCCCAAGTGCCATGCTCAGCCAAATGACAGAGGTTGTGGCAGGATGACAGAGTGTTTGAAGCTAGCCTAAGCTACATAGTGAGGTCTTACGCTGGGGGGTGGGGGTGTTGACATGACAGTAGGGAGATGACTTTGTTCTCACTGCTAGGATGCCTTTCTTTTTTCCAAATGTCTAAATGAATCTTGACATTTTGGAAGCGATACTGACAACTTCTGACAGCCCAAACAGGATCTAAGGCTTCTCCTGTCATTCTTATCCTGGGTAGATCATGTAGATCCTGGTTAGCTTAGCCTGACTAAATACCCTTATGTGACTGAATCTTAGGCAGAGGCAAGAATGAATAATTGACTGTCATTGAAACATCAAGCAAGGCCAGCCTAGAAGACTCCTTGGGTTTATTTGATCTCCATGAGCCCTCAGGTGTTCTGGCCTCAGAAGAAGCTACACATGGGATCTCCAAAAGCCAGTTTTGCACTGAAAATGCTCATGGTTGCTGCCTCCAGAGGATAATGAGTCCTAGTCTCTGCTTGCTGCTACTTCACTTGAAAGAGAGATATTCTCCTAGGACTATCTGCCCTAATAAGATACTAGCCACATGGAACGGCAAAGCCCAAACTTCTTGTCCATGATACCACAGTACCTACTCTTGACATTCAAATTCTAGCTCTCAAGTTGGAGACTTACATAAATTGCACCTAGCTGGGTTCTGTCGTTATCAAATAACTGGTAGTAATGTTGAATAAAGCTGGATCCAATCTGCTCCCAAATTGGCTTGTCTCCCATCCTGGAGAGTCACCCACCTCACTGAGACCTGTAAGACCAGCAAGACAAAGAGAGGAGTGTTAGTTAGTACCACAGAAGTAAGAAGTAGACAGCTACTGACCTTTGTCTTTTCCTAGCCTCCTCATGCAGGAAGATCCTCTGTTGATACCTGTTCTCAGAGTGTGTGGCAATCCTGAGGATCTCATAAGAAACCTTACCCAACCCTAATCAGTGAACCATATTTAGCCCCTCTTATAAGGAGCTCCAGGTTGAGATAGAGGGACCAGTTATACTAGGTGGGTGCTGAGGATATAACGGGGCAAAGGGAAACCAGAACAGGCCCTATACTGTCCAATAATGAGAAAAGAAGGAACAAAGCACTGGCCTCAGTTCCACATTTCTCCTTTAATCTTTTCAATAACCTCCAAGGCCAGAGTTAACTGCCATTCTTCCCATAGTTCAGACCAGAAATTACTGACATTTCTATGCAGAATGTTTCTCTTTTTTCACGCTTCCAATCAGTGTCCCAGTGATGCTCTGGAGGGACACGTGGCTTCTAAAGATCCCATTCCTGAACACAGCAAGTCCCAAGGAGGCACCTAAGACCTCTGAGGCCAGATTAATTCTTGACCTGGCCTTTTCTCCTGTCCTTTCTTCAGTGATAACGATATTCTCTACCCACCTCAGAGCTGTGACAGAAGAATGAGAAAGGGAAATACAAAGAGGCTGTGAGGAGATGGAGGCTGTGAATGGAAAATTTAGCACATCACCTCATGTCACCACTGTCCTGTTCCTCAAGGGGAATCCTTATCCAGCTAGAGGCCCAGATCCCAAGGACATTGATGAAAAAGCTACTTTGGCTTTGTCAAAGCTCTCCAAGGGAGGGCCTGCACTTCCTGTGGGCCCTAGAGACCCATGTGTTGTTCTGCATGGGTCTGCCTGCAGAGGCGCACATCCTCTGTCTTTATGATAGGGTCGAGACAAAGCAGTAAGAAGGTGATTTCACCCCAGGGAAAACCATTAGCCATTAGCCGTGGTGGGAGCTAACACACAGCGCTGCTTCTAGGGCGTCCACGTCGCCCTCTACAAAAGCAAAGATGGCAAACCAGGTTGCTGGTTACTCAGCTTAGCTTACTACAGTCTCTATGACCTCATCCAAGGCCAGAGGGGCCGGCAGGAAGGGACAGAGTAAAGGAATAGGGATATATCCAATCATCCAGCCCATGACTACCCTCTAGCCAATGAAAGGCCAGGAAATGAAGCCAGATTTATTTTAAGTTCCCTAGGAGGTAGTTGTACTAAAGATAGAAACTCTATGCTTGGATGACTAAGAAATGTCCAGGAAAGTCTAAAACAAGCAGAGGAGAAAGCTTGGATCTAGCTACGCCTGTCCACACGAAAACAAGGTGTGTCTCAGTTCACATTTGTGGCAAGAAACAAATCAACAAACGGAAGAAGAATAGGACCTACCACTAATTTCACATGCAATTTTGGTCACATTTCCAAATTTCCAAGAAAGGTCCACATTTCTTTCCAAGAAAAGTTGCACCTCTGCACTTTCTACCATAGTATCCATGCAACATTTCCTAACCCCACAGAAGCCAAGATACTTTTCTCAGTTCCCAAGAGCTCTCAGGAAAAGCTACAGGAATAACGAGGGTCATTCTTCCTTCTGCTATCAGCCCACACAAAGGTTGGGCAGTTCTCATGGGAGGTCCTAGAAAAGAACATGCTGCTGGGCAGTAGTGGCACAGGCCTTTAATCCCAGCACTCGGGAGGCAGTGGATCTCTGTGAGTTCGAGGCCAGTCTGGTTTACAGGGTGAGTTCCAGGACGGCCAAAGCTACACACAGAGAAAAACAGTCTTGAAAAACCAAAAAAGAGGGCTGGAGAGATGGCTTAGAGGTTAAGAGCGCTGGCTGCTCTTCCAGAGGTCCTGAGTTCAATTCCCAGTAAACCACATGGTGGCTCTTACCCATCTACAATGAGATCTGATGCCCCCTTCTGGCATGCAGGTGTACATGCAGGCAGAACATTGTATACATAATAAACAAGTATTTAAAAAAACAAAAACCAAAACCAAAAAAGAAAAAAAGAAAGAGCCAAGCATAAGAAACCATACTAAGTACATTGAAAGCACCAAAACAGACGAGGGCAGGAAACTGGGATGTCAGAGAAGAAAGGGAAAGCAAGGCAGGACAGCAATCTAGAAACAAGACAAGCACTGGCATGTGGTAAGACCGTGGGACGGTGTATGAAGTAGGAGGGTGTTTTCTTTTTCAGTATTATCGTCCTGTCCATCCTACTGACCCTACCTGAGTAGACCTGTGTAGCCCTGGCTGGCCTAGAACTTGCTATGTAGACAGACCACACTGGCCTGTTTGCCATCTGACTCTGCCTTCTGAGTTCTATTAAAGGCATGTACTAATGTCCAGATAGGTAGGGGTTTGTTTTCTTTTTGCATGTATTGAGTGAGACCAAGTCTTACTAAGTAGCCTGTTTGGCCTGGAGCTTGCTATGTAGATCCACTTGTCTCTGCCTCCAGAGGCCTGTTCCACCACACCCAGCAGTAGTATTGTTTTTAATGGTAAGCTAAATCTCTAATAGGAAAATATCTGGCCAACCTAGTAGCAGAAAGACAAAAGAAAACCCTGATCCAGCTGGGCCAAGGTCTGGGGAACAGAGCAACTTAGGGCATTTCAGAGAGCATGAAAAATCTTCAAAACTGGATAAAGCCTGGGCTGGTGCTACAAGCCTATAACGCAGGCTACTTGAAAAGCTAACTTAAGAACCCTCATCCAAGGGCTGCCCAGGCTACAGAGTGAGTTCAAGGCCAAGCTAGGTAACTTCGTGATATCTGGTCTCAAAATAAAAAATAAACCAGGGCCAGGGTGAAGAGTGCTTGCCTAATATGCGCAAAGACCAGCTGTAGCGCACATATCTGTAATCCCAGTACTTAGGAGGTAGAGGCAGGAGGATCAAAAGTTCAAGATGTCTTGAACTTGGCTACAAAAGGAGTTAGCTTGGGTTAGAGACCCTGTTTGAAAAAACAAAAAACAAAAAAGACAAACAAAAACACCCAAACTAACCAAACCAAATCAAAAACAAAAAGCAAACCCAAAGACTACATGAAGACCTTTGCTTTAAAATGACCAACAGCAGCTCCAAGAGACAACAGCAACCTTACTCCAACTCTGCTCAACCTTCATGCATTTATTTCCATGTACCCAAACATATGACATGTGGTAAGGGTCCATTGTCATCTTGCTTTACAAATAAGTAAACTCGGGGCAGGTTAACAATGCAGAAGAGCCTGCCTAAAAGTTATTCAGATATCAAAGCTGACATGGTCTTGTATAACTGAACCCTAAATTACAAAGTTGGTCATATGCTTCCTTTAACTCTGTTGCCTTTGGGTTAGAGCCAAGCCCTAAACTGGGCATGATATTACATTCCTTCAATCCCAGCACTCAGGATGTTAAAAGGGAGGATAAGTTACAAGCAGGCCAGGGATACAAAGCAAGACCCCTCTTAAAACAAAGGATATGTCCATGCCTGTAATTTTAGCACTTGGTCGGCCACAGTAAGACTGTTGTGAGTCTCAGGCCACTAGACTGTTACAGAAAAACTCATTTCTCAAAATAGTAAGATCAGGCCATGGTGGTGCAGACCTTTAATCCCAACACTTGGAAGCAGAGGCAGGAGGATCTCTGTTGAGTTCAAGGTCAGTCTGGTCTACATAGTGGAATTCAGGACAGCCAGAGTTATATAGTGAGACCCTGTCACTCACAAACACACAAACAAACAAACAAAAAGAAAGGGCCTGCAGAGATTACTCAGCTGTCAATAGTGCTTCCTGTTCTTCCAGAGGATGGACTCTAGTTCACAGCAGCAACAACATTGGGCAGCTAACAACGGCTTGCAACCCTAGCTCCAAAAGATCTGATACCCTCACAGACATCTGATGACTCACAGACAAACAAAAATGAAACAAAACCAAACAACACCAACTGTTAGGTGTGACAAATACTCATAATCCCATTTTTTGGGATGCTGAGGTGGAAAGATTGTTGGGAGACCAAGGGCAGGCTGGGGTCAACACAGTGAGTTCAAGACTAGCCTAGGCTACAGAGAGAGAGTCTATCTTAAAAAAAAAGGGGGGGGGGGAGGGGGTAAGATGGGCCTGGAGATGGCTCAATGGCTAAAAAGCCTCCGCTGCTCTTTCAGAGAAGCTGGGTCCAATTCCCAGCACCTACATAACCTCCAAGGGCAGAGGTTTACATGTGGTGCATAGACACACAACCAGACAACACCCATACAATTAAAATACATTTAGAAAATAGAACAAGAAGCAGTACACACTTCTAATCCCAGCTCTTGGGAGGCAGAGGTTCCCAAGAGTTTGAGAGTAGCCTGGTCTACATAATAAATTCTAGGCCACCCAGAGTTACATTAGACCCTGTCTCAAAAGCAAAATCAAAACAAAAAAAGAGCAAAACAAGTCAGTCAGTTATGGCGCACAGTTTTAATCCCAGCACCAAGATGGCAGAAGCAGGTGGATCTCTTTGAGTTTGAGGCCAGCCTTGTCTACAAAGTCAGTTCAGAACAGCCAAGACGACAAAGAGAAACCCTGCCTCGAAAAAAACAAAACAAAACAAAACAACAAAAAATCAAACCCTCGGGCTGGAGAGATGGCTCAGAGGTTAAGAGCACTGGCTGCTCTTCCAAAGGTCCTGAGTTCAGTTCCCAGCAACCACATGGTGGCTCACAGCCATCTAAAATGAGATCTGGTGCCCTCTTCTGGCCTGGAGGTGTACATGTAGGCAGGACATTGTATACATAATAAATAAATAAATAAAAAAAAAAAAATCAAACCCTCTAAGCTCTGCTGGTGGCAATCTATACCCATCCCCATCTTGCCATCTCTAGATCAAGCCACACCACCCACCCCAGCCCCCACACCAGGCCCAGAGCTTACTCACCAGGATTTTTGCAAAGGTGAGTCCCTGGCAAGGAGACAATCACTTGCTTGGTCAATTCTTATTCTTTC